GCTTCGCAATTAGACCTCACGACCAGATGGTACACCGTAGGGCTATCGAACTTATCACTGAGGTGTACAAATTCCGGACACTGTTCCCCGGACCACCTATGTTGGGGAAGATCCTACACAGCATAGCGGCCTTCTACCTTCCACCCTGGGACCTAAGGTGGCGAAGTGCCATTCGAAGGTCATTCGCTCGTCGAGCGTCACTCCGAGATACTTCATCGTTCGACCAACGAAAATACGGTCGTCGCCGATCCTTAACTACGACTGCGGCAGACGTCTTGTCGGCGGCAGCCCGTGAAACGAGTTGGCCTTCGTCTTCTTGGTCGCCACGTCCAGTCCCAAGCTCTTGATCTGGCCGGTGACTGCAGTCACACCTGCCTCTGTCAATCTGATGATCCGCTGCCAGTCGCGGCCACCGGCGACGAGCAGAATTTCGTCGGCGTAGCAAGTCAAGCGTACGTCTGCTTGTAGCGCCGTCTCCAGTACCGTGTCATAACTGATATTTCATAGCAGAAGTCCCAACACTGACTTATTGCGATCGATAGACATAGGCGAAGTTACATCCCCCCCCCCCCACGACCGTACGGAACTCCGCGGTCCTGTGAGTGAGACAGTGCACCATCACCTTCCTCAGGTAGAGAGACACCCGATGCCGGGCAAGTCCCTCTCGGATCCTAGACCAGGGCAAGGAGTTTAACGGGTTGACGACACAGACACCGCCAACGCCATTTCGCCCTGACTCACCACTGATTTTGCATGACCTCGGACGCGCGTTATCGCGTCGATAGTGGACACCCCGTTTCGGAAGCTGAATGAGCTCTCCTGAAGGTTCGATTCTGCGCCTAGGTGATTCGAGACGCGTTCCATTGCCACCCTCTCGAAGAGTTTTCCCACCTCGTTAAGCAGACAGATCGCTCTGTAACCTGCTGACGAGTCCGGTGAGCCTCCGGCTTGGGGATCAGCATCAGCCTCGCGGTCTTTTAGTTGGTGGGCACTCTGCCGCTCTTGAGGCAGCCGTTGAACAGGTCTCTCACTCGTCCCCCGAGAACTCGCAGCGCTAACGCTAGCGCGCGGCTGGAGACGCCGTCCGGTCCTGCGGCGGTATTCTTAGCTGCCATCCTCTTCACCGCTGCTGCCAGCTCCTCTTCCGTGATGGGCGGTGGTGGCGGCTCCTTGATGCGGGGCGCCTCGCGCCTCTTCCGGATCCCGCGGAAATAAGTTTCCGAGTACTCTCACGAGCGTCGTTCGGTCCAGGGCTTCCGTCACTGGGGGCTCCTTCGGCCGGAATTTACCCAGCCGGTGGGGCCTTCCTCAGGCTTCACGTTCTATCGTGCCGATAAGCTCGTCCCAGACACGAGCTTTGGCCGACCGTATCATCTTCTGAAGGCAGTCCACCTTCGTCCTGTACCGGAGGTAAAGTGCCTCTTCTCTCGTTGCGTTTCAGTGCTTCTTTTTGCGCGCTCGTTGGAAGGTATGACGAGCGACCGTGCAGCTGATCCTCTTCTTCTCGATCTCTGGTGTCTACCAGTAGACCGAGTCACGGTATGCTCGCCTGACGGGTGACATCGCAGCGTCGCAAATTTCTGCAAGTTTACGCTGCAACCAGTCGGCTCCTTCGTTGATGTTATGGGAGGGGTCGGTGGCTGGTTCCGCCTATGTTGTGGCGTGGGCCGCGGTCATTAACATGTCTTCGTTGAGTTTCCTGACCGCCCATCTCCCAGGCGGCGGATCTTCCTAACGATGACCGTTGATTCCTCTTCTTCCTCTTCGGGCAGAATGGAGGTCGATGACGATGTAGAGATGCTCAGCGACTCCGCTACTCTGCGCGTTGTTGCAAAGGAGGCCCACGATAGGTCGACTATCGATTCTCCCTGCCAGCGGACGCAGGTGCTCGTCCTACCGGAGTTCAGTAAGCGAGGTCCAGGCCAGCTGCCCACTCCATCTCCTCTCAGTCCGGGGGAACCCCAAAGCGTGAACTTAGCGCTGACGTCCCCCATGACCAGTGCCTGTTGTGACGGTCTACGCGCGACATAGTCGCGCAGGTCGTCCAACAGC